TTCCAGTATGGTGTATCACGCAAACCCAAAAATCGTGAGTCTTAAAATTCCCTCCATCCGCTCAGGGTACTTCAACGCCTGCCACAAGAATATCCCCTTGCATGTGCTTAAACTTCAGATATATTTTGGTCCCTACTTCACTTCTCTCGATTAATCATCTCTGCCAGTTGTCTTATCGGCGACAAAACTAAGTGAATTTATAATAAAAGGATAGTTTTCAAAAGTGACTTTCACAGGGGGTGGGGGGGGTGAGAGCGGAAAGGGATGCAGTATAAGGAGAACGCAAACACATTTTGAAAAGGTGAAGAAAATTCCTACCGGGGACGTTTTCCGGCTCTTGTGAGAGGCGGTTGGCGATGGCAACATCCAGTTTCCGTGCCTCTACAACGGCAGTCTCGAAAACGGCCTTGTATTTGGCTGTCTGAGCACGTAGGACCTCTAAATGAGGAAATTAATTAGCGGTAAAAACGTACTACTCATGTATATTCAGTAGAATGATTGGTTTACTTAACAGTTACTGGTAGCAACGACTAATTACGCCCCAAAACATATTGAGGGAAATTGGAAAATGGGGTAAATAGAGAGCACATTCAGAAAGATGGTGTAGAAGGGCCTACACTCCCCCCCCACCATTTGACTCAGCGTACACTACCTACTTATTTGCGCTAGTAGGTTCGGCATGTGAGTATAATGCCTTCTGAGTGGCGTTCCTGCTATGATTATAAGACATCCATCTGCTACACTAAAGAGTGCCACTTGTAAAGGGCACTTCGTAATCTAATAACTATGTCAGTTTCTTTGACAGACATTAGACGATATAAGAATTTCAAGCAAAGATGCTGACGTGAGAAAAGTGCTGATTGATAAAAGTTACGAACTATATCAACTGCTAGCTAGGAAGAAACGGTCACGAGTGAGCACCGCATACTACTTTAGATAAATTGAAAAAAACATTGGATGAGAATCCAAACAGTCAAAATTGCATGCTGTATCGTAAAGTCTCCCACCCAGCTGGAGTACTGAACTGTACAGAATGAAGCTGACTTAGGTAAACACGTAGAGGGTACTCTGATCTGGAACACACAAAACAGCACTGTAGGATGTTACGAACCTTCGCTGGTTTTGCGTCCCTCGCAGATCCTACAAAAACGTAGGAAAGAAAAAAAGAGGTTACGGGAATAGCATCGAAAAAGCAAGAAAAAATGACAGGAGAGAAAAGAATTCGGAGGAACGCACGCTCTTAGGTCGTTTTCTAGTTCGGCACGGAGGTGTGGCTTAGACATTTCGAGTGCCATGGCATCGTAACCTGAAAAGGAGAATGGTTTGAAAGGTGAGGTGGAACTGGTCGATGTTGTTAGGAGTTTAGCCTGGCCAAAGGCTAGCAACATTGTAGGCTCTTCTGAGGTGTCTTGCCTGCCATAATGTCTTTGTATCCTCGTTCTGACCACCTTCACACGATGACCTTAAAGGCTGGACCGGAGACATGCATGCGCGTCAAGGCGCGTGATCCAACTTGTCACAGTCTCTCAAGAGCCCGCTCAGGCGCACCATGGCCAGTGACCTTATTCCGATGCGTCCGATGAGGCCACAAGCGAACGTGTTTGACAATCATTTATAAGCCATTGTCACCTCTTAGACAGTGAGTTGCAACACGGACCGCGAGGACACCGCAAGCCGGTCCCATTGTCGGGCCTACGCCCAAGAGGGACACATAGTGCGCTGGAGATCAACCAGCGGCAACTGCCACTCGAGAAAGCATCTCCGGGTTTTGTAAACAATAAACCCTCCTCCGGGGGGAGTCCAAAATTACGCCCTTCTTATTGTGTTCTTGCTTGGGGATTCCAAAGAGCATAATTTAACGGTGACACCTCACAGAAGTCGCTGTTATAACCGATGTAAATAAGCTGTGTCAGCTGGAAGACGTACAGACTAAAAACCTAGCAATTTACAAGTTGCAGACAGGAGCCGAACTTCATTGTGAAGGCTTGATGAGTCGGGGCCCGGGTTGTATCGTAAAAGGTTAAAATCTATTTTTACCGTGACATGATGCATTGACGCGT